ATATATTAAAAATAAGACCCCTTAAAGGGGGCTGGGGATTTAGCTCGGTGGTTCTGCCACCTGCCTTGCAAGCACAAGGTCCTGAGTTCAATCTGTGGTGCCAAAAAAAAAAAAGACCTATGGGCTGGGGATTTAGCTCATTTGCATCTCGCTTGCCTTGCAAGCGCAAGGTCCTGAGTTTGATCCCTGGTACTGGAAAAATTAAAGTAAATTAAATTAAAAAAACAAAAATAAGACTTTAAATAGTTTCTTAATATGAAGATCATTTCTACTGAAGAATTACCCTCTTGGTGACAAATTTCAGAAAATGTGAAGTCAATAGTAGGGTGCTCAGCTGAGGTAGAATACAAACAGGGAGGGAAAGGGACACAGTACTTCCAGGGATGTCAGTTTTGCCAATGCTAAATCACAATTATTTTACAAATCAGCATGTAAGAATCAGCTTACTCTAAGCTCTGCCTGCTTCAAAGTAATTCTTTCCAGTCCCCACAGGAGAACTGCACATGCTGTGGACAATAATCTTGCCTAGACAAGGAATATTCCAGGATTTCATCACCAAGGCCATTGGCTTCCCTCCCAAGATGCCCCAGTAGACATGAACAAAGCCAATTTCCTGTATTCAGTCTTCCCTCCACGCCCACCTGACATTCCTGTTCTGCTCTTGAGCAGCTCCACCTTCTGTAACACTCCCCAGTTTTCCTTATCTTGAAGTTGACTTAATGACATTTTTCTCATTGCCACCCATGGCCTCTGACATGACACAGAGTTAGGACCAGCTCTTAGTAAAAACTTCTGGCAGATAATCAATGTATGTGTATAAAACAGCAATTGAAGACTTGAGAGTTCAAACCCATATGACCTTTACTGACCAACCCCTGAGAACTGAGGTTTTTTTGCCACTGCAGTGTAAACATGGCCTCCCAAAGTTACAAATAGGAGCATTACCTTTTTTTTCTCACCCTCCTTGAACAGTAATGTCTAACCACAATTACTAAGTCTGATAACAACTGTTATTATACCACACGATACTGATAATACACATATTACATTATGAAAATCTTTGAATAGTTTCTCTCATATTCATTTTACCCAGGACCCAGATGGACTGTGTCATGAGGGACCAAAGTATCCTTTATGCTGTTGCTCAATCGAGTGATTGTGAGAGATTTACATTCCTTTTCACATTTACTTCTTGAATTTGTCGCTAGACTTCAGAATCATCTGGAGGAATTAGGTAGTTCTCAATATAATCCCATTATTGACATTTATGCTGATCGATGTTGGCTCTTACAGAATTGGAATCTGCAGATCAATTCCCTTATTAGATTCTTTCTCACTGCTGCCATAATCATTTTATCACATAGGCTGCTGCTATCAAATGCTGCTTTATCACTATGTAATGGGAAAAGTGAAATCAGTTTCTCTAGTACGTTACAAGAAATAAAAAGTTTTCCTGGTTGTAAATCTCACTTTTCTCAAGGCTTAAATTTCCTGATAATTACATTTATATAGAGGTTAATTTGAATGTATTTTCCTTTAAAACCATGCTGCACAGTAGAACCAATGTTAAATCCCAAGAGAAATGTTCACAATACTCCTTGAAATTATTTTTCCTTTTGTTTCAGAAAGCTTCAGATTTCAGAGTATAAAACAGGTACTAGTCACATGGTGACCATGGCTGGCAGCATAGGGCAGGTGGTAGTGTTAGTATCTCTAGTAGGTCCCACCTGAGCAGATGGCTCTGCATAAAACGAAGCAACAAACTCTCCAGACTGCCTCCAGCCCCACAGCTGGTGTAAGAGGGCCAGGAAAAAAACTGTAGTGTCTCCACAGGCTTCCCCCTACTCCTGGGAACACCATCCAGGGTCTATGTTCTATTAAGACAGTCAGGAATGACATCAAATATGAAGCATATTCTCCAAATATTTTCTAAAGATTAATATTAAATTCTGTATGGTAGGAATAATACAAATATTGTCTTTGTGTCTGTGCAGACATGCAATTTCTAGGAAATGGATAATACACATTCTAGGGGGTACTTAAGATCCCAAAGGTCATACATAGAGTTCAGGGCATTTGTGAATTTAAAGGGAAAAAATGCAATTTCTGTTTCACTAAACATGAACTAAAATTAGCACACCCTTCAATTAGACATGTTTGCATCAAACTACAGTGACATAAATTTTTGACATTGTTTCCAACAGAAACCACAGTCATTGTGTCATATTACAATGGAAAATATCTCAACATTTTGTTTATGTGCATCATTATTTAAAAACTATGCATCGCTTCTCGGCCTTTTGGCTAAGATCAAGTGTAAAAACTATGCACTGAACACACGTACTAGCATTTAAAAACTGTGTTAGACTTGCCTCTTTGAGTTTATGAAATGAAGCACCTATATTACTACATCATATATGTTTTTTCAGTGTTCAGTGTCTTGGTAATAGTACTTCAATATATAGTCAGCTCTCTGTATCGATGGGTCCTGAATCCACTGATTCAACCAACCATGGCTTAAAAATATTTGGGAAAAAAATTTATTCTGTACTGAACATGTATAGACTTTTTTTTCCTTTTCATTATTCCCTAAGCACCATAACAACTATTTACATAGTGTTTACATTGTATTAGGCATTACCAGTAATCTAGAGATGATTTGAAAGTGTACAGGAAAGTAGGTTATATGCAAATACTAAGGAACTTGAGCATCTGTGGATTTTGGTATCTGCAGGGAGTTTTGGAACCAATCCTTTGTGGATACCTAGGGACAAATGTAATTGGTGTCCTTTATAATCCTATGTCTTTTATTTTAAGCATTTAAAGGGATCAGTCTGGGAAAGGAAATACAGGCTTCTCTGGTCTGAAAAAATGGTCATATATCTCAATCACTTAGCTGCTCCCCACCCCCCACCTCATGTCACACATGGTATGCAAACTTCGATTGTGACACTGACTTTCCAAGTGGATGAACAAGGATGGGGAGATTTCAACCAATCTGAGACCTAGCATTTACCTGCAGAACCTGGAGGCACCAGCACAGTTCGGGTGAGGAATTTACGTTAATTTGAATCTTCAGTGGAGAAATAAATTAGCTTTCTTTTCATTGCCAAAGTAAGCACTATAGCTATGATTGTTATTATTGTTGTAATCTATGTTTTAATGCCATTTTAGCCCTGGGGTGGGCTCACAGAGAAACTACTTTCAAACCTCAAAAGGTCATTAAAACATGTACAGATGTCTGGAAAATTAATACTATTATCTAACTCTTAGCTTTTGCCTGTAGGAGGCAAAAAAGAGACAAAGGTTAAGATAAATATTAGAGATCAATACATGGTCATAAAGGAAAAAGCGGTCCTTCCTAGGACCATGGGTGGTGATGAGGGAGAAATCCAGCAGTGTTTTTCCAAAGACTTTCACATTAGATTTGTTGTTGTTAAAGTCATTCACGCAATTTGTTAAAAATTTAAAGACAGAATAGGGATGGGATAAAATGTTCAAGGAGAGAGAAAGAGATAATTTCCTGCCATCCTATTTCAGTTTGGATGTTCAAGGTCCCCAACTCTCAGAAGAGGAAGCACTCATTCACTTATATGATGGAACCAGAAATAGTCAAGGTTAATACTGAGCAAGTTAAAGACTCTGTTCAAAAGTGTTTTGCATTTTGAAAGACTTAAGCTACATTCTGCAAAATTCTCAGGGTAGGGAGATAGTCTCAGAGGAAGTTTCAATGCTTTATAAAGTTTCCAGAACCACAATTGAAGCTCTTCTCTTTCCAACAGTTTTTATTCGTAAACCAGGTAAGACTTGAAAACAAGACATATCTTTTTTCAATTCAGAGAATGGAAGCTTTAAGTTTTATTAAAGGATTTTTTTGCAGAAGGTTCTTCAATTTTGAAAGGGGACAGAGAAAGAAAAAGCTATAAAAGATATTTTTTGGCTATCTTTTTTCCAGATGGATGAAGGTGACCATTAGAAACACACTGGGAACCTATAAGAGGTTATTATATGGAAGTATTTCTTCAGATAGCATTTTATAAGAAAATCTGAAAGCATCTGTGGATTGTGGGCAATGTGCCCTTTTGAGTGGGAAGTTTTCCTTTTAAATTCAACAAGAAATACTTTAGTGAGGATCTCACCTAGCTTTCAAGATCAGAGTGACTCAAACATACAGGGTATCATTTTTCTCACAGCCTCAGTACAGAAATAGGTGGTCACTGACAATTTGGGGACGGTTTGTTAATACAACAGTACCTAGTATATCCCGGCTGATAGAGTGAGTGAACAAAAAAGTCAGCCAGGAAAACCAAGTGACCAAAATACTCTAAAGCAAGGTCAGAAATTAAAAATCTCTAAACCTCCTTTGGATGAGATACTTTCCTTTAAAAGAATAAATAATGATTATCTAAGGGTTCTATTCAGCTGCAAAAAAAAACACCCCAGAATAAACAAAAAGTACAAGAAAGCATGACTAACAATGACTTATGTTTATAATGGTTTATATTTTTCACACAGCAAATTGCTCAGGGTAAGAAGTCCAGGACAGGTATAGTGTTCATTGATGACACTGCATTACCAAACCATTCCCATCTTTCTGTTCTGCCATCTTTTATGTGGCACTCATCTAAGATGGTTACTGCATATCATGACATTGCTTCCACCTCCCAGGTTGAAAGAAGGGGTAAGAATGAAAGAAAAACAAGTGAAACTGTTCTTGATTGGGAAAGCAAAAACTTTCCCATAAATTTCCATGGCAGATTTGAGATTTCTATTTAAATCTACTGAGCCCAAGTATGTGGATATTCCCAGGAGAAAGCAGAGCTAAGAAACAATGTAGTTTCTGGCTTTGTAGTCTTTGAAGTAAAGGAAAGAAGGGAAAAGGACCTGAATAAGTCATGAATGCCACTTGTTAAATATGTTGAGCTCTCTTCTCCCTGGGAACATGTCCTCTGTTGGTTGCAGCCATGTGACTAGCTGGAGCCTATGAATTGTGAGTGGAATGCTTCAGATCACTGAATTTTCAGTGTTGAGGTGATATTTTCCTATTCCCCATTGAGCTTGCCTCTTTCTGGCTTGGTGACTGGCAATGATCCAGATGGTGGCTGGCCTAAGAAACATTTCCTGAGTGCCTGAGATACCCAAAGGTCCCCTGCTGAAGACAGATAGCATGAGCAAGATATAAATGTTTGGTTTTAAGCCATGGAGATTTTGTAATTGTTACCATGGCATCACCTACCCTCCCTATCCTGACTGGCCCAGAGTCCAGTGAAATAAGGAGCCAGTCCACAAGAAAAAAATAGTGTCAGAGAGGCCCATGTATTACAATAGAGATCTCTGAGCCAACAGTGATTTCAGTGGGGTGATATCCCGAAGCCAGCTTTCTCTACTTCAAGTACAGGTAAGTGGATTTTAATCATAATGTTATGGCCGTCCTTGTACTGCCCACAGGACACAGACAAATTATCCCTCTCTCCTGTGTCTCTACATAGGTGAGTGGCTAATGAAACATGATGTGTTCAAGGTAAGTCACCAAATTTAATGTGAACTTCCAGGATGACCATCTACAATAATTTAATGCATGATAATGAGGGATGGCATAGTTTCTGATAAGCCTAGTTAATGATATAGTTCACATCTCTTTTTTGCCCTTAGGAGGAAGGCAAAAAAGCTGTTGGGGAAGGGGAGGTGACTAAATTAAAGCATTAGTGGCCTCTTCAGTTACATTACATATCTGATTTTATCTCTAAATATAGCATTTCACATCCTCAGCAAAGTCAATAGGAATTAATTCAATAGTGACAGGCTTTTCCGTAAGGACCCCAAAGCTACTAGCATCAAAGCACTGTAACAGAGAGCAAGTCATATGGGAGAAGAAAGGAAACATTAGTAGAATTCAATACAAAGGAGGCATCTGCTTGACTAGCTGTTTCATTTTTCACTCTTGGTTGCATTTCATTCTAACTACTATCTCTGGCTTTATCATGGGATGGGAGAGGGAAGCCATATGGATTTATGACAGCAAAACGGTTGGTACCACAACAGATGGTAACAAGGAATCTTACACAACATACTTATGTGCTAAAAATCACTTAACATAACTTTAGTTAGGTACATCTGGCTAGAAATGCTCTAAGACCAGGGACAATAAATGGTTACAAGTGTAATTATTGATGTAATCCTTTCTAAAAAACCAGAGTCTCATTCTCACTTGCAAAGAGTGAGTCTGGAAAGAGTCTAGTCTTGCAAAGAGTCTAGTCTGGAAACAGCAATAAAAAAAACATGAAAGCATTATCACCTCATGCTATGCTTACATAGATATTTTTCAAATCCTCATTTAAAAGAACGAGACAACTTTCTTTCTCATGTAAAATCCAAGTATGGACTGTATTACACTACTTAAATGTGTATGCATATCTTTGTTTGTTATGTTAGTTTAGAGTATCAATTTTAAAGTAAAAAATAAACATTATATATTTAGGGACATTAATAACCACAGTTACGGCTATAATTCCTTTTACAGAATTCGATGGATTCCGACTGTCATAATCAGCACGGATCCTTTAAATCTTTGAATCATTTAATTTTATGTATTATTTTGGTATTTCAATTGGGAGTTATGGGATGTGAAACATGCACCGTGATGAGAAAACAATTAACCAGCACACCTGTTGTTTATGCATATTGCGCACAGGAAGAGCCTGCTGGAGCTGTTATTTTATTCCACAGCATGGTGTCAACCAAGGGGCTATCAGAGGTGACCTGGTGACATCAAATTATAGTTTTATTTGTATTACATGGCTTGTTCTTTGCCTTAATGTTGGAACAATCCTTGCTTTTCAGGTTAAAATCATGTTTGTAACCCATAACAGCGATGTGTTATGAGATTTTCAAGTTTAATACAAAAATTAAAGTTTCGAATTTCTATGGAAGGAATAAGAAGCAAAAGAATTTTAAGTGCAAAAGAGGCAATTGCCATCTACTGAGTATCTACTATGCCTAAATAAATTAGTTTACAGATAGATTAAGAAGGGGGAATACAGGCCATCCTGAGGTTTTTCATAATACAGGGGAGGAAACGTTCTCTTTGTTGTCGCTTCACTAACAACACAGTTGGCAGGGGAAGAAAACGTTTTTTTTAAAACTTATGCTTAAAATTTTTATTTTGGGACACATGAGGCATATATGAGTGTGGATGTGTAATTTCTAAGCTTTAGCCAGTTCTCTGCTATACTAACAGTAGATACCTGGGGGTGGAGATTGTTTGCAATGATGGTTTTCAATCTATCTGACCTCATGCCTACTGTAAACAATGATGTGGATAGTTGTGATCTAGCGTACAGAAATAATTACTGTAGCAGGCCTGCCTGCTGTCTCTTGAAAGGACTGCTTATGATTATGCTTGGTGGCATTTGGATGAGAGCCTGCACCTGACACTTAACTGACAGAGTGACACAGAGTGCCTACATACACTGTATAATGTGATGTATGCTGAACACTGCTTTCTTCTAAAAGTCCAGAATTTTTGTTTGTGCCAAGCGGAGGGTGTCTACCATGGACACTGAGTCTCTGATAAGTTTTCCTGGTAGAGAGCATTTCATATGTGTTATCACAACTCTGCATTGGGAGACTTAAGCGTGTCTTGTGTGGTTTTAACAGGATAGGACCCTTGGAAGTGTGCCTGGGCGTCCCCAGACTTTATCCTGAGCACTGTTTCCATTTGCTTTATATCCTTTCACTGTGACAAATTTTAGTATGAGTACAAACTATATGACTATATGTTGAGTCCTTTTCACAAATCATCAATGCTGGGAGTGGTCCTGCAAGATCCACAGTATACTGGCTTATATTAATTTTTAAAAATTATAATCCATGAACTTACATAAAAGAAGAAACTACATTGTTTATGATAGAACAATATGCTTTTCAATATGAAAATTCTCAGGCATCATTCTCTTCGACAGACATAATGTGGTCAGATGCTTTCAGGGCAGAGCCACCACAAATGCGACACCATATATTGAGCTCTTCTGGTTTTCTGTTACTAGCAACTTAAATATAATGAGTCCTGTTAGAACCAATGATGTGTTTTCTGGAAAGAGCAAACAATTCTTGCTCAAATTATATATAAAACACAGTTCATCCTTCCTTTGAAGAAATCCAAGAAAATTCAGCTTATACTAATCATGTGCCACAAAATTTTAAATTTCCATGTATAATGGTGTTATGGACGCTGCTCAGATAACCATCAGCACACAGGAATGTCTGGAAGGACCTTTAAAGCAGTGAGATACAAGAGAGTCTGGTAGGTGGCTAGGTCTGGCATTCTTGTCTCCAGCCCACTAAATGTTAGTAGTGCTGTCCAAACTACACAAGCCAACAACATCCCCCAAATATCGCCTTCAAGGACACAGCACAGCTACTTTTGGAACCACTGGTTTTTGAGAACACACTTGAGATTTTACAGACCGTAGGCAGCACTTGGGGCAAATATTATACCATCCCTGGAAGGTGCAGACTGTGGGAATTAATAGCACCAAGGAATAAAATAACAGAAAGCGGAGTTTTTCTTGTATCTAAGTGTGGGGCGTGGCTCAGCTTAGTTCAACAAACCTTGAATCCACAGTTCAGTGTGTACTGAGCAATGTGAAAATACGCAAGGCAAGAGGGGAGGCCTGGCAAGAGAAAGGGTTTATTTAGGGCAGTCTTAACTTCTGAGTCTCCATAAAGGTGCTGATACATGAAACAAGAGGGAAAGCAGCAGCTTTTCATGCACTGCACAAGCAAAAGACCACATTGCAAAGGTAGAGAATGTCTGTCATAGATATCTTTCATTGAGTTGAGGACTGAGTTTTGAGGTACAGTCATAACAAATTACAACTGCAACAGTTAAAATGAGCATTTACTATGTGACAAGTCTGTGTTATTTCAGTCCTCACAATTTCCCTATGAGGTGGATATGATCAACCTCATTTTAGAGATGAGAATGGTGGCAAAAAAGGTAAAAACAGTGTTGCTCAAGTTCAAAACCTAGACAGTCTAAGGTTTCTTAGGTATATTCTTAACCTCACTGCTATGAGGAATAATTCTACAAGTAGTACTTAAAATTACACTAAAAAGTTCACAAAAAGCTGGGGATTTAGCTCAGTGGTTCCGCCGCCTGCCTCGCAAGTGCAACGTTCCAAGTTCAATCCCCGGTACCAAAGGGAAAAAAAAAAAATCCATAGATATGTCTGGGTCTGTGTTTTTCCATGGCCTTGAATCCCTTTGTACTGATTCTTAATTTTGAATAAAGGCCTTGAAGATAGACAGCTTGAAATGTATTTCAACTGAGTCACTAGGATTTGAAAGAGTTTCCACTTGGGTTTTTCTAAGGTCTGACAAGGCCCAAGGTTAACCCTATACATAATATTAACGTCTTTAGGAGAAGCACTGTGATATAATGGGTAAAATAATGGTTTGGAAGTCAGCCTTAAGGTCAAGGCCATGGCTAGCTATGTAGTCTTGTTTATACTTATGTGAAACAGATATTATGTTTTAATAAGTGAAGAAACTGCAGGTAAGGCATCACAAGGATAATAAATAGTCATTATTATTATGGTTCACCCCACAGAGCAGGTATTTTGGTCTAATCCTGGAAAACCATTCATTCTCTCTCCCTCTCCCTCTCTCTCCCTCTCCCTCTTTCTCTATCAGATGATTCTTCCTCCTATGTCCTTCTTCCTATAAGTAACTGTTGGCTTGGCATATGGCAACCCTTGGAAGCAGGATTTACCACTGACATTATCCTATCCAAGCTTCCCAGGGAGCCATGCCTTAGATGCCTGATACATTCATTGCCTTCTAAGGCCTGTGTTGGCTTGGTCTTGTCATTACTCAATGAAGGACTATCCTTTGCTTTGGGTTTCACCAATACAATGATGTCATTTCAACTCTAGGGTAGGAGGCTTAACTATCTTACAAAAAAAATGGAGATGGGAGATGAAGGAAAATAGTAATTAGAAGAAAATGTTCAATAATACTGTCTTATAGAAACTAAAACAATGTCAGCTCACCAAATGTAGAAAACATCAGTCATGCTGTATTTATTGAATACTAATAAGTACAATGCAATTAACTTCCATCTATATAAGTGTCAAAGTAAACAACATGGCCTTTGCAGTGAAATAAAGTTTGAACCATAGACTTGTATGCCTGGGGTAAAATTTGAAGCATATTTCATTATCAGTAGGATGGGGGCACCAACACCTACCTTATGGAGTGCTGGAGAAAATAAATGAGGTAATTTACAGAAAGCATCACACATTCCTCATAGGAGATTTTTCAATATGTAGTAGCTGTTGTTATTATTATCTAGAATCATTATTCCCAAATGTCAACCAGTGACCAAATCCTTGATTT